CGTCGGCTCAGACACAGACCACCACGGTCAGAGGTGGCGCCTGAGCGGACGACACCCAGAGGGGGGCGCTGTGCATTCAGAGCCCTGAGAAGCAGGGGGGAGCAGAGGGGTCCAGGTAAGGGCACGCACAGGTATGAGCACGGAGAGTCTGGAGAAAGGGGTTGCCCCCCCCCCCCACAGAAGCTCTGAGGCCTGGCACACGGAACGGGTCTGCAGAGAGGGCAGGGACAGACACAATGTTCAGGGGACAAGAGTGGCCAGGCTCTGCCACTGACTGACCACGGGAGAGGAAGTGGGCAGTGGGGCAGCGGTGAGGGGGTAGACGCTCCACGGAGGTCTCTTCTCGGGAGTCTCGGTTGTGAACTCCTACACAGCCGTCAAGACCCAGCTCAGACAGCTCCCAGCATTGTTAGGTTTCTCCACCTCTCAGGGCCCCTGCTCTGGGCACCCACAGTCCCCGACCTGTGGGGTAGCAGAGGCTTCCGGAGGGCGGGCAGGTGTAGACCCCCCGTGGCAGGGGGGGGGGGGGGCGGGATGCTCAGGATGGAGGCTGGGGCCAAAATGGTGGCTTGGGGACAGTCATGGTAGGAGAGACCAGAGCACCAGGAGGAGGGCCCCCATAAGGCCTGCACACGACCGAGAAGTGGCCAGCTAAGCCGGCCCCTCCACAGCCTCTCCTGGTCCCCGTCACAAGGTCCCCGATCCCGAATCCCCGTCTGAGGACTCTCTAGGTCTCATCTGTTCTCCTGTCAGGCTGGGACATTTGGGGGCTGTGTCCGTGTCCCGTGCCACCAGCAAGGGCCAGCCTGGAGCTGTCTCTCACAGGGGGCGGTGGGCAGACTCAGGGGGCTGGCCCCAGCTGAGGAAGGCAGGGCCTCGTTGGGTCTGTGCCGGGCACCAGGGGCACAGGGGCAGGATGTAGACTCCCCTCCCCCAGGGGTGCTCTCGGGGCGGGGGCAGGCATGACAGGCCTCTCCCAGGAGCCAGACTGGAACCGTGGGGACAGGCACACACTGGCCATCGACATGAGGCTCGGGGCCTCCGGGAGAAACGTGAGTGAACGCTTCGGCCCAAGGACGGCCACCAGAATGAGGGCTGTCCCCAGAAGCCGTCCCGAAGGAGCTGGGTGTGGGCAATGGGAACTTCTGAGCACGAGGTGCTGAGGTGGCCTTGGGGGCCAGGCCCTGGCCTGCGCTCGGAGCTGCTGATTGGGCTCCACCCTGCAAGGGGCTCCTAGGGGTCCTCTCTACAGGATGGGGGCTGAGAGACACATCCGGGGCCTGTGCTCAAAGGGGCGTGAGGGCGATGGGCTGGGGCCTGGGGTCCGGGACCGAACCCGTTGGAAAGGCCCACGGACAGGCAGGGGGCAGGCCCAGGGACCCCCAACAGCCCGCATCCAGCTCCCCAGCCAAGTCTCACACACACACACACACACACACACACACACACACACACACTCCTCCACGGCCGATGTGCCCACCTTCGTCACCCGGTTCCAGGGCTTTGGGAACGAACAAGACGTGATTCCAGAGTCACATCAGAACAGCCTTTATTGAAGTCGAGCAGTGCACGCTGCAGCCTCCCGCCCGCCTGGCCCGTCGCTCGGGGCCCCGGAGTCGCCTGCTGGCCGTGGGGGCGGCCCTCCCGCGGGCACGTGTCGCTGGGCTCCTCGGGGAAGGCAGTAGGTTGTATAGTTATCTTCCGAGGGGGCAACATCACTGCCCTGAAACCACACAACCTACTACCTCACCCCGCCGGTGCCCGGGGAGCGGGAGGCTCCGATGTCCCGCCACTGCCCCGCGCCCAGCCCCGGCCCCTGCCCGGTGGTCTGCGGCCACCGGAGCCGAGCTGGAAGGCTGGGCAGGTGCAGGGCAGGAGTGACGACGCAGATGGCCCGTGGGCTTCCCCACACACAGCGAGGCCCACGCCGTCCACCTACGAGCTGTCGGGGGCGGGCGGGGGGGGGGCGGTGGGTAGGGAGCGTGTGTCCCCAAGGGGCCAGACTCCGGGGAGCCTTCCTCCCGCTTTCCTGCCTGGAATGGCGAGTGGGGAGGAATGGGGTGGCCTCGGCCTCCCTCTCTGGGGGACGTCCCACCGCTGACCAGAGCCCAGACGCTGAGCCGGGCAGGCTGGGAAGGACATGGCGGGGGGGGTGCGCTAAGGTCGCCCGTGGGAGTCCCTGGGGGCCAGCCCTGCAACCCCAGCCAAGTCTCAGCTGCCCCTCGTCCTTCTGGGTCCACGGCTGCGCCCCACTGGTGCCCACGGCCGGCCATGGGGGCGGCTCTCAGTGCAGTGTAGGGAGGGGAGGGGGTCGGCTTTGAGCCCCGCCCCGCTCTGGACACTTCACACGGTGTCATCTTCAATTCTCATTGGTCCCCATTTCACAGACGGGGGAAGTGAAGCCCAGAGGTCAAAGGCGACCTGCCCAAGGTCACAGGCAAGTGGAACCTCGGCCCGCCCGACTTCCTGCCCGGTGGCCACCGCCCCCACCCCACCACGGCCGCTACCCATCCCCAACCTGCACCCGGATCTCCGCCCAGCCAGGGTCCCGGGTGCTGTCCATCGGCGAGATTACAGCCACTTCAGGAAAGACAGTAGATTGTATAGTTACCCAGAGCAGGGCAGAGCCCCAAACTATACAACCTACTACCTCACCCCAAAGGACCGTCGGTCGGTTGTGACGCTTCGCGGCTTCAGAGGCACCTCCTGGAGGGGGTGGGAGTGCTGTGGGGGAGGAGGGGGGGGGGGCCAGGCCGGCGGGCGGCCGAGGGCTCAGGGACTCCGGCAGGCAGGCCAGCAGGGGCCCCGGGCACCGCGTACTCCCCAGAGCCACCGCGCAGAGGGGGTCCCGCAGGAGAAAGCCAGCAACCAGAGGAAGGAGGTGAGGAGACGGAGGGAGGGGACAAGCATTGCAGTGTGGCTTTGGGCAAGCGCTACAGGTGACTGATCACTCCCATCCGGACGGAGCGGCCACCGTGTGGCCAAGGGACATCTGCTGCAAGGGTGACATTGGAAGGCTGTCACTCAGAAGCCAACATGTGGCAAAAAGGTGCTGTGTCCTCCTGGCCGCCCGCCCTCTGGCAGCACAGCCTCCCCTCTCTGGCTGCCCGAGACGCGTAGGTGGCCTCAGGGCCCGCTCCCTCCACCCACTGGGCGGCAGCGGGGGGAGGGGCGGCCTTCCCCATAGACTCTGGTCAGGCCGGTCCCGCCGTTCCAAGTGACCTGAGCTGTCCCCACTTTGGGAGACATCCCAGGACGCCGTTCTTTCTTTCCAAAGGGACCTGGCTCCCCTGGGGAAGGCAGCCGGGGCACAACCGTAGGCCCTAGAGGGCTCGGCATTCAGTGCCCGGAGGCACAGGCAGCCTGGATAAATGTCCACCATGGCCGCCACCTTGCCGGGGGCCCCCGGGAAAGGCTGGTGAGGCAAGGACTACTGTCAGCCCATCTTGTAGGTGAGCAGACGGGGGCCCAGAGAGGTAACCTCACCTTCACGGGGTCACACAGCTGACAGGCAGCAGAGGGGAGGTTACGACATTGTGCTTTCCGCCCAGCGGTATAAGGGCTCTGAGCTTCCTTCCACACCCCTCCTAGCAGGCTGCCTCCTCCAGGCAGGCCCCAGGCTGGGCCGTGCCATTTGGCCCTCACGGGTCTGGGGAAGCTAGGATTACTGATCCCTTTTTGCAGTGAGGAAACGGAGGCTCAGACCGGTGGGGGCCTCGGCCCCATGCGTGTGGTGGCGGTGGGGGGCTTGCTCTTGGGCTCTGCTGGGCTTGGCTTTTTGCCCCCTGCTGCAGACGGAGGTCTCATGCCCGTGCCCTAAGCACCCTGGGTGCCCGCCCAACTGTGCTGTGGGGAGACTGACTGCTGTTGGTCCCACTGCTGGGGAGAAAACTGGCCAAGCCTCCCAGCCCAGGACTCCCCCGAACGTCCCAGGGGGAGGGACCCTGAGCACGGGCTCTGGGCTCCAGGGTCGGCCGCTGAGACATCCATGTGCTAAGGCTGCAGGGAGGGCCCGGCCCCAGCTGGGAGACACAGACGGCACGACAGGCCGGGCCCTGCGGGGTGGGGACAGACAGGGAGACGGGAAGAGACCCTCATCCTGGTCCACCCTGGCGGTCACCACACGTACCCCCGCTTCATCCCCGCCCTCCAGCCCAGCCTGAGAAGCAGGTTGCTTGGCTTCCTTCATCGGCCCTTTGTTCTGTTTCCAGGCTGGACTTACCGAGTGGCCTCTTGGGCCAGTGGCAGGCGGCCGAGGCACATCAGGATTGCAGTCGAGGGCTGGTTCACGGCTGGGCAGAGCCAAGGGGGCTTCCCTCAAGGATTCCTGGCCCCAGAGGCCCTCCAGGCAAGGTGAGCCCGAGGGTAGCAGGTGCACCGGAGAGACAGAGCTGAGCACCTCGCTTGCATCCGCTCGCTCTCACAGACCAGGGCTCCTCCGGGCCACGTCCGGTGACCGTCAAAGGTTACAGCGTCACAAGCGCGTGGTGGACGAAGCGCGTCGCCTGGGGGAGTGTGCCGGAGAGTGGCAGGAAAAGGAGGCGTGGCTTCGGGTGCAGGGCACGGCTTGGGCAAAGGTTTGGCAGTGGGACCGTTAGGTCTCCGTCCAAGGACCCTCGTGGCTGACGGCAGGACCTGGAGACGAAGGGCAGGGGGACAGCTCCTCAGCCAGACTTCCAGAGCAAGGACGGCGGCAGAGGTGGGCGGTGGGGCCGGGGGTCACCCGTGCCGTCGTGTGAGTCACCGGGCGTGCACCCACGCCAGCCCCAGTCTGAGGCTGGGGCCACAGACGCACCGGCCTGTTTCCCGTAGGATGACCTGGCGAGGCCTCCCGCGGGCTCAGGCTGGGCTGGGCAGAGCGGGGTGGGTGGCGGGGGCGCCCTCGCAGGGTGGAGACCGCCTGGGCCCAGAGGCCCTGCCCTGACACCCACTCACCTCGAGGAAGGCCGACCGTGGACAGAAGCCCCTTTCCAGACACCGCTTCTCGACCTGTCGGGGATTTAGAGAAAAAGTAACAAGGATCAGGTGTGGGAGAAACACGCCCACGGCCGCTCTGTGGCTCCTGCCCGGGCACACCCCACCAACCCTCACATCCCGCACTCCAGTGCCAGGGACACGCTCCCCGCGAGGGCCTGGAGACAACGGCCTCCGTGGCCGCCGTGAGCTGGACGACTCTGGGTCAGAGATGACTGAGACCCGGGCTTGTCCCCGAATGGTCAAGACCACCGACGTTCCCACGCCAAGCTGGCACAGATGTTCTGGGACCTGGAGTAGGGAGGACCCAAGAGGGAGGAGCTGAGGTCCCCGCTTTCCAGAGCTCTAGGCGGGCGGGGGCTCCTGCCCTGTGGCAAGCAAGGCCTGGGGTCCTCCCAAGAGCAGAACCCCGAGGAAGGGGCTCCCAGGACCCGGCCTGAGGCCTCAGCCAGGGCTTGCTCGAAGGATCACAGAACCCCTCTGGTTCTGGGCCATTCAGGCCAGGCGACCGTTCGGGACTCTGGCGTAAAGTGGGGGTGGGGGCGGGGAAGCCAGCAAGATGCGTCCTCCAAGGAAAAGAAAAATGCCCAGGGCAGGCCTCCTCTGAGCCGCCCGGCCCATCTGTCTCTGTCCTTGCTTGTTCTCTGCTGGGGATGACAGCCCCACTTGTCCCAGCTCCTCGCCCACGAGGGCCCCGTCTCCCGCACCATGGGCCTCTCTCACTGCCCATCCGGAAGCCTCGGGGGGCCCCCAAAGGGAATCCCAGCTCTGGGACCAGCTGTGCTCACGTCTGTGAGACCCGGCCCTGCGGCAGGTGGTGCTGTGGGTGGGAGCGGTGCCCGCGGAGGAGGCGGGAATCCACTCTCCCCAGGGGCCTGGGGCGTGTTTCCTGCATACTCAACAGCCTGCTTCAAATTTCTCTAGGTGACCAGGAAGCAGGTATCATGACCCCCAGCAGGGTCCCCACTCTGGCTCTGCCCTTACCAAAACAGAGCTCACCCAAAACGCGGCTTTCTTTAGCCAACAGCTCTGGAGAGGGGGTTTTTTGGGTCAGGGGCAGGGTTTACGTTTCTGGGTCGGTGACCCATGTGCAGAGACATTTCTGAGCTAGCGGGGAAAAGGCCCCAACTCGGGGAGTCTGAGCTGGAGGGGAAGATTGGCCGGGTCCACCTGCCGGGCAAGTCCCACGAATCACCAGCGCCCTCGGCCTGGGGAGGAATCCCGAGACAGACCAAAGAGACCCTTCCCCGTCAGCCTGGAGGAGGGCTGGCGGCAGGGGCAGGAGCGCACTGTGAACGGGGCTCCCTGAGCAGGGCTGCGGGGGAGAGTGGTGGGCAGCGGCCCCATCCCAGTCCCCCTCGGTGTCCGCTTGTGGGCAGGGTGCTGGGCGGGCCCCGGTGGGAGGGGCCGGGCCGGCCAGGGACAGGTGTGTGTGGGAGGCCTCGGCGGGCAGGTGGCCCTTTCAGGGCTGGGCGGATGTCTGGAGCAAGGGAGGCAGACAGACGGTGTCACCCCGCGGTCACCTCGGGCTTGGCTCGGGGCCACTGAGAGCCGGGAGCCCCCCCGTGGCTGCCCCCCGCCACTGCCGCCCCGATTAGGTTTCTCCCCATAAAGCGGCCAGTGTTTCTGCTCGGCAAGCCGTGCCAACAATGGAGTCTGGGAAAAAGCTGTAGGGGTGGCATCCGGGGGCCCGGGCAGTGGCGGGGGGGGGGGGCGTGGGTCTGTCCCTGCAAACACGGCCCATAAAGTTCAGGAGACATGCGTACCAGGCAGTCTGACCGACGTGCACAGGGACCGTGTGCCCACTGTGGGCCTGGTGTGGCCAGGCAGCAGGGAGCCAGCCAGACCCTCACCTCCGGCACACAATTTATGGGGCGCCGAAACTCAAGCGACGAGGACAAGTTATTTTGAAGTAAAATTCTCACAATGAACGCGAGAATACCCGTGACGGAAAAACCTCCAACCTAAAGACTGACTCCTCCGCTCAGGGAGTACGAGGCCCGGTGGCCTCACGGCCCCCAAAAGCCTGTCTGGGGGGGGGGGGGGGTGGGCCAGCAGAACCAGAGCTGGGATCCAAATTTCTCTGGCCCCAGGCTCTTTCCACGGCCCCGCTTCCCTCTGGGCCGCAAAGGCCACGCAGGTGGGTGACGCCTCCAGACGGAGCCCCGGCCCCAGCCCTCCTTCTGTCTCAGGGCCCCAAAGCGTTCTCTCGTTGGCACCTTCCCTGTCCAGCTTCCCCCACGGCTGTCGCCTCAGAAGACTGTCCCACTCCAGCTCCTTGCTTTCCTGTCCCCAGAGGCCTCCGAGCTGGCGTGGTGAAGGTGGCCAGGCCTGGGGAAATGGGTGCTCCCCAGGGCAGGGGCCGGGCCCGCCGTGATGTCCTGAGCCTGGAGGAGGGCCAGGCATACAGAGGAGGCTGAACTGTCACTGCCACATTTGCCCGAGTTCGGAGGTCCCAGAAAGGACCACTTGGGAAGCCGGGGGGGCTGGGGCTGGCGCTGCCCGGGGAGGCTGGCCAGCTCTGCAGACACACTGGCATCGACGGGGGCTGTGGGCAGGCGGGAGGAGGGGACAGCTGGCTCGGAGGTCCACCGGGTCACGGTCCGGGCCCCCTGCTCTGGCGGCGAGCCGTGGGCAGGTTGGTACCTCCGGCCTCAGCCGCCCACCCTGTAGAGTGGGACCCGGATGCCGGCGGCTGTCAGAAGGAAGGGCAAGGTGCCTCTGTGCCCGGGGAGAAGGCGTCGGCCGGGGAGGCTGTTCTGTCCAGGGTTCGCTCAAATTCCAAAGGGAAAAGCACGAACGCAGAGCCCTCTCTGATCCCGAGCGTGTCTCCGTCGGGTGTCAGAAGCCACAGCGTCAGCCTCAAAGGCGCACGCGGACTTGAAATGTTCTCAGTTCGGGCCACAGTCTGGGTCACAAGGCGAGGAGCAGGGGTAAGGGAGGGGACCGGACGCACCCGTACCATTAAAAACACCCAGCATGAACCCCGCCCCGCGGCAACCACACCTGGCGGCCGCCCCCTCCGAGACGGTCGGTCGTTCCGCTGCGGGGCTCCCGGCTCCTCCAGGAGGCTCTGCGCCTGGCCTGGCGTGTGGTCACCATCCCGTCCGGCAGGCCTTCCCCAGAGGGAGCCGGGGCGTGAGTAAACCTCACTTCATGGTGATGGAATGTTCTCTCTGGGAACCGCAAGGAGAGAGCGTCTGGGAAGGGCCTGGGGCAGCGTCCAGCGGCCTTCCCAGCCTGAAGGGCTTGGCTGGGCCACAGGTGTCTGGGAAAGCCGTCTCGCAGCTCCCGGGGCCCTGCCCTGCTGCACGCCTGCTTTCTACCCCTCGACGGCGTGTAACTGACCCTCGGCGATGCAGGGGACACAGGCCGGCGCTTGCCCCCACGGCGCCTGCGTTACCCCGCATGCTGCCTGAGAATCCGCACCAGCCCCTTTAAAAGGCGCCTGCTCTCCTCAAATGCCATTCCCTCCTCTACGAGGACGTTTCTACGAACCTCCTCTAGGAGGTCCACTGCCCTCTGACGGCCTCACGGCTGGGTACCACGGGTGGGCATCGACGCCCGGCAGGCCGGCGGCTCCCTTCCACCTGCCGAGGCCGATGGAGTCCCTGTTCCTCCAGTGAACGGGCCCAGGGACAACCGCGTCTCCCTGATATTGCTCCCAGGCCCCGCAGCCAAGGCTGTCCGGATGCCGTGCGCCCACTTCCTGCCCGACCGACTCCCCTCTGTAGGGTGCTCCCTCCGACCCACTGGGTGTTGTCAGAGGGGCAAGCTTGAGAACGCTGTGCGCAGAACGAGAGCAGGAGGCACAGGAGGAGGCCGGAGGCTCTCTGACGAGGAGGGAGACGCCTGGTTGCTCCCAGCTCCGCAAAATGCCCTTCAGGGAAGCCAAGGTTCGGGGGATGTGGGTCCCGCGGAAGAGAGGACTGCGTAGGGCAGCGGGCTGGGCTGGAACGGGCTCACCCCCAGCCTGGTGCACCTTAGATTCTCGGCTGGCCCCAGCCCCACGGGAAGCCCGGCTGCAGAGCTCACCTCCTCCAGGAAGCCCCCCGTCCCTGCTTCCTGAGGACGGGCAGTAGCTGCGTCCAGACCGGAAACCTGACTGACCTCCGTGAGCCCCGGGCCCAGCACGAGGCCCAGCCAGGGAGCCCGGAGGCTCCTCAGGCAGGTAAGGGGGCAGGGTGGCTGGTGTAGGACTGAGGGGGCCGCTGGTCTCCCCAGTGTGGCCTGAAACAGATGGGGCCCTGGTCACGGTGGGTCCAGGGAGCCCATCCCCACCCACTCGGGCGAGCGTCATTTCTAGAACTGTCCGTGCCGGCCCCGTGGCTGCCAGGACTCCCTCCAGGAGCATGGCTTTAATTACAGCTCTTCTGGGCTCTGGTCTACAGCATCTCCGTCTGCTCGTCAGGGGAGGCTGGGGGGTGGCGAGGGGGCCGGCGGGCTGGGTGAAGGGCCGGGGTTCCCGGACGGCCTTGCCAAGACTCTGGCTGGTGCCAAGCCCAGGGCAGCCGCGGCCAAGGCCGGGCTGGGGCGGGGGCTGCTGCTGGGCTCCGTCCAGGCCACTCGGGGCAGGCGGGCGGGCGGTGGTCTCCCTCCCTCCTCCCCCGCCGGCCACCCGCCCGCCTGCCTCAGACACAAAATGGCGGAAGGCTGCGGCGGCCATTTTGTGGAGCCCCAGAAAGACAAAGGCAGCCAATAGCCCGGGGCAGGGACAGGCCCCGCAGCGGCAGGGAGGGGTAATGTCCACTCTGGAAGTGCGGCCGCCTCTCCTGCGTGGAGGCCCAGGGGGACCTGGCCAGAAAAAGTTGGGGGGGGGGCAGGCAGTGCCTTCTCTGGAAGCTTCCTCCTGCCCAAGCTCCCGCCACCCTGAGCTTACCCTCTCGAGGGGCTCCGGGTGGTCTGGGGAGAAGCTCTTGCCCAGGGCGGTGGCACTGACGCTCTCCCGCCTTACGGAGGAGATGGCCCGGCTCGGGGCGGCGATGCGGGGAGGCAGGCGAGAGTGTAGGCTCATGGCCTCCTTCCACAGGAAAATCCTCCTTTGCCCCAGACCCTCGAAGGGTGGTCTTCATTTGCCTGGTGGCGGGGTGGCCTCTGACCAGATGGCCGGAGGGGCTGGCCCGCATTCCGGGGACATCCCAGCACATCCCACCCCGGGGTCCAGGCTGCCGGCTTCTTCCTGCCCATTGCTGGCAGGCGCAGGGACAGCTGGCAGGACCGGCCGTGCCAGGGCAGCGCCGGGGGCGGGGACACCGGGGAGACCGGCCCCAGCCCCTCCCCGACCTCCCACAGCACCCAGGGCCCTGCCCGACGGGACCCCGAGCCACGTCCCAAACCTCGAGGCTCCTGTTCTGCCTCCGTCCGGTGACAGCCCACCTCCTGCTCGTGTCCCCTCCGGGGAGCCCCTGCCCACGTCCTGTGGGCGAGAGGCGCTGCCCCATCAAACACCCGCTGGACAGGAAGCCCCCTCTGCCGCACCGCCCGATGGGCGGTGGATACACCCCAAGGGCCCATGTCTTTCCGACTCTGTGCTGCCCGTGGTCTCCGCACCTTTAGCACGTCTTGCTCAGAACCCCAGATGGAAGGCAGATACACGCAGGACTGCTCCGGGGGCCCTGGGCCCAGGCACAGGCCACCCCTCCCTGCCTGTGCAGAGGGAAAGCCTGGGCCCAGGCCAATCCCACTTTACAGATGGGCAGACTGAGGCCAAGGGTCCGGGGAGACGGTCCTCACTCACACAGCTGGGGCCTTGTGCTCTGACGGGGACAGGCTGATCCAGAGGCAGGGGCAGGGCCTGTGTCAAGAAATAAGACAGTGAAGGGTGCCTTGGGGGCTCAGTTAAATGTCCGACTTCGGCTCAGGTCGCGATCTCGTGACTTGGGGGTTCGAGCCCCCGCGTCGGGCTCTGTGCCGACAGCTCAGAGCCTGGAGCCCCTTCAGATTCTGGGTCTCCCTTGCTCTCTGCCCCTCGCCCACTCACACTCTCTCTCTCAAAAATTAAATAAACATTTTTTTTTTTTTATAAAGGAACAAGACAGTGGGATTGGGAAGGCAGCCCCACACCTTTCCTACAGGGTGGCTGCTACCATAGGCCACGGCACGGCATGGAGGGCAGGTGCCACGGTCCCCATCACCTGCGTAACCACAGCTGTCCTGACTACACACACCGGGTGTGAACAAAGCGGTGTCCTCACTGAGGACCACTCCCGGGAGCAGATTCTCCGTGGGAGCTGCCCCACGGGGATGAGACAGCCTCACAGCCCAGGTCCGACCCCCATTTGCCCAATACTGCTGCAAACGCGTGTCCCCCTTCCCGGGCACGTGCTCCCCATCGGACACGCGGCCAACGCAAACCCCCAGCACGTGCGACATGCCAGGCACAGACCTGCGTCCATCCCGCTGAGGGCCTCAGTCGGTCCCCATTACAGCCTGATCTGCCGAGAAGGGACCAGCACAGAGAGGCTAAGGCACTTCCCACGCTCACACAGCCAAAGACAGGCATCCTGTGCCTACGGCACTGGGGAGCGGAAACCCACGGACGTCTCCACTTACGGAGCCCCGGTCACACAGCTGCTAAGAAGGACCGGACTCCTCTGTACTTGGGGGACCCTAGGAAGCCCCACTTCTGAGATGTTTGCCTTCTCTTCCTCAAGGCGACAGGGTGTTGTGGCGTCCCCGATTCTCCAAGGCCGCCAGGCTAGGTGAGCGTCGGTGGTGGTGGAGAAGAGAAGCTCGGACCCAAGCACACCGGAACAGGGACAGCAGTCGGGCTGCTGAAGGGTGGAAGCCTCTCTTTTCCCACCAGAGCTGGCCAGCTGGCCTTCCAGCACCGTAGTATCTGGAGAATAAGGCCTCCAACCGGGGGGGTCCGAGGCCAAGTGTCCAGCCAAGCCCAGACCTGGGGGGAAATGGCACTGTGGGTTGCACCCTGTCAGAAAGTCTCTTTCGACACCCTCCGGCTCACCCTGGGCACCACTCCGGCGAGGGCCTGAGCTGGAGGTCCCGGCCTCGGCCCCCTGCCCGCCCCCCGGGGAGGCTGCCTCTTGGGATCCGGCAGCCCGACAGCTCAGGGGGACCCCGACGCTTCAGGGAGGCCACACGCTCCTGGAACCCAGACAGACGTGCTTCTCAGCAGGTTGGGGCCAGGCCCCTGCTCTGCTGCCGGGCGGCCTTGTGGTCTGGGGCTGGCCCCTTGACCTCCCTGAGCCTCTGTCCCCCCCCCCCCCCCCCCCCCCCCCCCCGCCCCGGGCAGTGGCACCGAGACAACCGCCCAGCAGGGCCGACAGCACCAGCGATGGCACTGGGGGGAGGGGCGTCCGGCTCTCTCGAAGAGCAGCAAAGCGTTTGTTGCTTCCTTCTCTCCTCACGTCTCAAGGTTAACCATTCCCGGCCAGCACGCTGCTGCTCAGAACCAGTGAGAAGCACCGAATGAAGCCCGTCATTCTGCATTTTGTACTTTCACTGGGACCAAAAGATCAGACGCAAGGTATTTTTTAAGGCCTCAACTTCCGAGTAAATCAAGGCTGGCTGGACATTTAGCGTCAGAACAAATTCCTGCTTCTCCTCGGCCGTAGGCACCAGACTCGGGTCAGCCCCGGAGCAGGCAGATACGGCTCCTCAGCATGGCTCTGCCGTGGGGTGTCGGGCCCGTGACCCCAGGCCTCACTTTTCCGTGAACCGCCGTCTGTGTCAGCTTCGGAAGAACACGGCAGCCTGTCCACCCACAGGCAGCCGGGGTGCCGGGGAGGGCAGGGCCACGTCCCTTCAGAGAGCAGGCCACCACTGGGAGCCGAGCAGAGGCACGTGGCTCCTGCCCTCACCTGGCGTGGGGGAGACACTAGGGGCTCAGTGCAGGGGAAGGGACTAGAGACGGAGGGAGCCTCCCGCGCCCAGACCTCTCCCCTTTCGGGGCCAAGTCTGGGCAGACCTCAAGGAGAGCAGTACTGGGTCAGTTCAGAAAGAGCCCACTCACCAAGTCACCGTCCCCCCATAAACCTTTGGTGCCCCCAGCCCAGCGTCCTGAAGGGGCTCCATCATCCCAACAACCCCCCAGGCCACAGGTGAGGCCAGAGCCGGGCTATTCGCAGCCCCCGGCCTCCGTTTCTAGTTGGACAGAATGGAGATGATGAACCCCACCTTGCTGGTCATGCTGGGGCTACAGGAGGGCGTGAGTGCACACGGGAGGGGCGCCCTCCCCTCTGGCCCCGGGGCATGTTCTCACCCTTGCAGTGAGTGCCTGGGCTGTAAGGTCATCCTGGTGACCACTCAGGCTCTGGATGAGCACAGAGCAAGCACCTACTGTATGCATCGGCCGGGTCTTCTGTCCCCTGCACAGTATGGGGGGGTACAGGTCCTGCCCCGGGAAAGCCCGCTCCTCCAGGCCTGTCCTTCTCCGCCCACAACCCTCCCCACGTCACCTGGGCCTCGGCTACTGTGTACGGACCCCCTCGTCCTGGTCCAAGAGCCCTCTGGCCTCCCAGGCGGGCCGGCCCTGCCTCCTTCGACCTCCGCCCACGGTCCTGGGGACACACCCTTGCGGCCTCCTGCTTGTGTCTGTCAGGGCTTGGGGACTCAGGACCCGAGTCTGGTGCCCGCGTCTGCGCGAGGAGCGAACCTCCGGGGGCCTGGGTTTCATTTGGAGCCTGGAGGCTACCTGCAGCCAGCGGGACATCGGGGGATTTCGCAGCGTGCGCCCGGGAAAGCACCTGGACTAGATGGCCTTGGGCACGGCCCAGGAGGCCCTGGGGACATCTGGGACCAGCTGCACCCCAGGCCACCCCCCCCCCCCCAGCTTCCTGTCGCTCTGCTCCGCGTCTCCTCCCTTCCTGTGCCCTGCCCTGCTTTCTCTCTGCCTCCACTCTGTCCTTCCCCTTCGTCTGGTAACCCCCCCATGTCCCCCTTTCCCTCTGTCCCGCGTCCTCTGGGGGCCTCCCCCTCTCCCCACCCACATTCCACCCCCCATCTCGGGCACCGGCTGGCGCCCGCTCTGCGTGCAGACACAAAAGCCCCGGGGGCCGCGTCTGCAGAGTCTTGCGGGCAAGCTGGACCTATAAACACACGAGGCCCAGATGGCAGAGGGGTCCTGAGCCCAGACACAACAGCCTGGGGTCCTCTCCACCCAGACCCGGGAGGCAGGCCTGCCCCTGGCCATGGCAACAGCGGGGGAGGGGAGGGGACGCCTGTCTGGCCCACATGGCCCCACTGACTTCCCAGGAGGCTGGAAGCAGCCGAGTGGGTCCCGCGGCCTGCACCGTGGGCCGGCTCTCAGGGGGGGCGCGGGGCGTGGGCAGGGGGCCTCTGGGCACGACAGGCCTCCGCCAGGGCCACGAGGCCGCCAGGATAGGGAGTGGCAGGCCGGGGCCCCCTCACCTGCTGAGCCCCTGAGCTCTGCCCACTCCACAGACACTTCCAACAGTCCCCAGCAGCCGGCCCGGGCCCTCCCACCACGGACCCCCGAGACAGATGGCGCCTTGCAGAAGGAGCTTCCCTCGGCTTCTGTGCAGAAGGGAGCCAGAGACACGGGCCTGAGTCCAGCTTCCCGGGGCAAGAGACCAGGGCAAGCCCCTGGCTTCTGGCGGACCTTGGTCCCTCGGCTACGGAGAGAGGCTGGTGGCAGGTCAGGGCCGACGCTGGAGCAGGCCCAGCTGAGCTTGCAAAAACGTGAGTACCGCCAGCCCGCTCCTCTGTCCTCCGCTAGCCTCCACGCGTGTTACGTGCGTGCGCGTGTCCCGCTCCAGACGTGCCCGCCCCGGGAGGTACCTGGGGGGAGGGGGAGCCCTGACTTTCAGTGTCCAAGGTGCTGCACTGACCTGAGGGTGGTGCACGGTCAGTCGTCTGAACGTCAGGGGTCACTTGCAGAACAAGGTGACGGGACGCAGGGGTGAGTCCTGGAAGGAGAGAGATGCTATGTGAGTCTCGGGAAAGAGCCCCCCAGGATACGTGCGGTGCCCTTGCCCCGACCCACCCTGCCCGGAGAGCCTGTGAGGTCACCTCAAGGGCCCCAGCTGTGACCGTGTGCCCCAAACACTGGGAACGGAACACCCCGATTTTCTGGGGTCGTCCGTCTCTGGGCCGCAAACGTGCAGACTCGGGGCCAGAGACAGACGTTCGCCATCAGCCTCGGCAAGGCCTGATGGCGCGGCCGGGGCCCCTCACTGCCTCTCTCTCAAACTAGGCTTTTCGGGTCGGGGACAGTCAAGTGACAGAGTGCGTGAGGCTCTGGCGAGGACGAGGGGACCACGGCCGTGCCGAGTGTGAGGGAGGGCTCTCCTCTCCACCCGCCCTGGTCCAGGGCTTTGGGGCATCCTGGAGCGTCAGCCCCAGGCAGCTCTCTTGGGATCACTGGTGCAGAAAACGCTCTCTGAACGTCACTTCCTGCAAGGGATAGTCTTTTCCTCTTTGCTTTGGACGCTAGAAGTTCAGAGCTGAATTTACAGGTCCCGACTTGGCTTCGGCTAGGCCTAACTTTGATTTTCCCTCTGCCCTAATTTCTTCAGCCGTTTATTTTTATTCTTCTGCATTGTCTGTGTTGCTCGAAGCTTCAACGTAAACGTACGCACTTTTTATACTTCTACGCCTACTTATTTATGTGGCAGGACAGAAGCAAGTAGAACGTAAAACACCTTCGTTCCCTCTCTGCCCGCGTGATCAGTGGGGGCTACGTGCAGAGGCTTCATCTTTACAAGGGGTGGGTTGTGTCTGTTCCCAAGCCAGACCCCCCCGCCCCGCCCACTTCTTGGCCAGAAAAAGAGGCTCCCTCTTCCGCTTCTGTTGGTGCCGAGGGGGACGCACAAGAGGTCTGGATGCCCCTTTTGCAACAGAACCTCAGGGAGAGGCCACGGCTTCCCCGAGACCACACGGCAGCGAGGGCCAGGTGGGGCTGGGCCCCAGGAGGTTTGATCTGGATACTGGGGCCCAGTCCCCTGCGATGGTGTGGCCACTCCCGTGAGCCCTCAGGGCTGGCAGTGGCTGTCCCAGGAGCAGCGTGGGTTTGGAGGTGCCGTTCCGGAACACTGCAGAAGGCATGGACAGAGAGCCTCGGGGGAAACAGCCAGTCTGGACCCCCGGCCGGCCCCACGCAGCCCCTGCCACGGGCAGGTGCAAACAGACCCGGGACCGCCACACAGAGCTGCTCAGATCACGGAGACCTCTCCCCACATGGATGTCTCCCCGAGGCTGTGGAACTGACCGGAAGCCTGTGGCCGTGGCCGCGGCAGGCCTGGGGTCCAGTTCCCGGGGCCCAGAGACCCTCCCGGCTGCCTCAGAGATGCTGCCGACAAGGCCCCTGGCCGCTTGGGGCGGAGGCTGCCCACGAGTCCTCACGCTGCCTCAATTCACCGTCTCCCCTCCCGCAGCACCAGAACACGTAAACGGGAAATAATGGAGGGAGGGGACCGGACCCTGCTGGGCTGCAGCACGGAAAGAGCCCGGCACAGCCCAAACACCCGGAGAGTTTGCTGCCTTTGAGTGAAGTATAAACCGCTGTGCTTCTTGGCTGCGTCCCGTGTGCAAAGACTTTTGTCCCATCCCCTGGGCCCTCTCACTGAAGCCACATGTGCTCTGGGATTTACTTTGTGTCCCCAACACTCCACCAGGAAGAACACCTACCCTGAGTCTTAGGGATGAGTAAACTGAGGCCGCAAAGGAGCCGTCCAGTCTGCCGGCTCGCGGCTGGGGCCGGGCGCGCCCGTCACCCCCACCGCCGCAGGTGCCGACGGTCAGAACTGGCTCAGGAGAGTCTCTGTGCCAACAGCTTGGCCCTCCTGGCCCTCCCTGATCCCGTCTGCTTCGAGGAGGTGACTCAGAGACTCGGGCCGCAGGACTGAGAGGCACAGGCACACGGCAGGCCAGGGAATCCTATGCTCTGCGCACACCTCGCTTCCGCCCTGGAAGAAGGATCTCATCCTCCTGCCAGGGGCCAACGAATCCCTCAGGAGCTCTGGGCAGGGTGGGTCCTGCTGCCAGAATCTTCTGAAAGATGGGCTCACACTCCCCTCCTGGCCAGGCGGCCCGCCTCCAGGGCTGCCTCCCCGCCCCGGCCCAGGACAAAGACCATCTACTGGGGCCACGCAGTCCTGGAGTGTCTCCCAAAGGCCACGATGGGTCCCGCTTCCGTGGGGGTGCTCTGGGATGAGGCACGTCCCAGAAGACACAAGGTGACCGAGCAATCAGCCGGGCAGGCCCTGGGGGCACGTGGCCCCGAGAATGGGACAGGGCTCAGCGTGACCCTCCCCACCACAACCACCCACAGATGGGCCGGGCCCACCGCGCACCGCGGGCAGGTGCCGAAGCGCCCGGAGGTTACCGACTGCAAGGAAAGCCTCATCTGACCGCCCTGGTCGGGACTCCCACCCAAAACTGAGCCCCAACCACAGGCTTCCTGGCAGCCCATCCGCACACGGCTCCAGTGTCTGCAGGGAGAGGGCCGACGGTGAGGTTGCCATCACGGTGTCTCCACCCCCTTGCTCCAGCCCTGCACTGGCACCTGCTGTCCCCTGGGCCCGGAACGTTCTCCTGCCATCAAACACCTAACCCTATACCCATCGTTCGGGTCACTCTTCCAGGGATGCCGCCTGGGTCAGAGTGGTCTGGGGGTCCCCTGCAATCAGCTCACAGAGTCCCGCCCTGCCCGCCTCCCCCGAGGCCAGCAGCTCTGCAGCAGGAACCATCACCCCTGCAGCTTTGCACAGGCACAGCCTCGCCCCTGCCCAGCACCCAGGATGACGGCAAGCGCCCCCCACTCTTGGAACATCGTCTGCTAGCTGGGACTCAGATGGTGTAGACAGGACTCTGGGTCTTTTCCCAGTGAGCCAGTGAGAGGACACTCCAGAACGGACGGAGCAAAACATCCGGCCCAGGGTGACTCCCAGGCCCAGCTCAGGCTTGTGTCTGGGGTCGCAGGCTCTCCGGAAGCAGGACTGGCACCCCCTGTCTGTGCATATGTAACGGGAGACCCAGTCCAACTCTCCGAAGAAAGAAACAGACCCACTCTGCCTCTGCCCCAGGCTGGGTGTGGACGGTGGCCTGGAGGAGGAGAGTCCCAGCACCGAGTCCCAGGTGCTGGTTCCCTTCCACACCCTCCTCCCCGGCCCTCTGTCAGCGCCCCCAGGTTCCTGAACATGCCTAGGCTCCCATAGCACCCCCCCCCCCAGGTGCAAGAATGTGGCTGCTCTGTCCCCTCAGGAATGCGACCTTCCTGGGACCCTTCCTGTCACCTGAGCAGGTCCTACCTGGAGCCACCAAGTGGCTCACAGCCCTCCTGGCAGAGGCCCTGGACAGTGGGTGTCATGGGACTCTTAAGGCTGTCAGAGGCCAGAGGGGACCTGACTGCTGCTCGGTTCCCAAGGATGTGCTTGGACTCCCAGTCCCCAAATGCTGGGCGGAGCCCCAATGTCACCCCTTGACGGAGACCTACAGGAGCTTGTGAACCCGATGCCCCAATCGTATGCGGTGTGGACTCAGACCCCCGAGTCACACAGCTCTGGGTTCTAATCCTGTTTCTCCTAGCTCAGCCTCAGTTTCCCTAGCTGCAAGATGGGGCTTCTGACCTGGAGCAGCTCACTGTCCCGTTTTACAGCAGGGGGGCCATCCCCGGGAGGGGACTGCCCTGAGACCACACAGCCCTTGCGTAGCGGGCTGGGACGCCCTCCCGGCCTCTCCTACCAGCAGGATGGGGCCCCCCGCCTGTGCACTGATGTTTGAGAACCCCAGGCCCACCTGCCCGAGCCTACGAGATACCCCTGGGGCTGGTCAGGAAATCCCTCGGGCGAGGCTGTCTCTGACACCCTCACCGGGAGTTGATGGGACAGTTGCTCTGGGGCCCGCCCAGGGAAGGAGCCCCCAAAACAGCACCAGGGAGCCAACAGAGAAGGCAGCCACTCTTCTCTCTGGACGGCACGCAGGGCAGGGGCTCACAGAGGGGCGCTCCCACACCACCGTGCCCGCAGGCCCAGCAGTCGACGCCCCCTTTTTGCAAATAGCCCAATTCAGTATATCCGGGGAGCTGGGGGAGGGTCCCCCGTGCCTGTTCTGGACACACAAGGGGTGTGAAACTTCTGTCCTGGCAGGTGAGTTGGGCTCCAGCTGCAGGAGCAGGTGTGGCTCTTGGCCCAGCCCTTGAGACACAGGAACCACACGTGGCCACGGCTGGAAAACTCTCTAGGACGGCTGCCCACGGGGGGGTGATGTGAAGCCAGGATGCCCCTTCCAACTCCAGAGCAGCACTGACAGCATGCTCTCCCCCTGGGATACTCTGTGGCTCCCATATCCTTGCACCCACTCTCCCAATGACGGCACAGAACAGAGGGCTGAGTGTCCCCCAGGGACCCACTCAGGGGAGGCCCCAGCGGGCACCGGCACACCGAGGCACTCTCTCGGTCTTCCCACCTTCACTCTGCTCGCTCCTGAGCTAGACTGCCCTTGTGTGGCCTGCCCTCGGTGCCTCTGAAAATCTGCCGAGTCCAGCGTTCCCCCTCTGGGCTGTCTGAGCCTTCCGACGCTGTCCTCCATCAACAGGCCCGCCCACACGGTGTGGGGGGCGGGGAAGGGTGGCAGGGGCCCCCGCCTGTCTCAGGGTCACTAATCAACTCCGAGCTTGGGCCCCCAGGTTCCAGAGGTCATAAGGCAGGTTGAGGGGAGCGTGGGGAGCCGGCCAGATCTACTACCTCTGTTTGGGGTACGGCTCCAGGCACAAGATCATCCTCTCTTGCCCTGTCTCCTCCTGGGACGTGGGAGACACTGCCTGCCTCCCAGAGCTGTGGCCCGCGTTTCAGGGGACAAAAGCAAAAGTCACAAGCCCGGGGCTGGCTTGTAATGATGCCTACCACTGCTCCCCTTCCGGGACCCCGGAACCACCCAGGGGCCCTGTACTGCGACCCTGTTCCCCCTCAGAGCCTGTGCCCCATGGTGCGGTCACTCGGATGATGGGGCAGCCCAGGCCACCTTGGCAGCTTTTTCTCTTGCATTTCTGTCACCTGCAAGGCTGTCACAATGAGGCTGGTGCTTAAATCTTTCAGAACCAACACCAGGGCCCCACCCTGGTCCCCTCCTTGCCCACGCCCATGCCCATGAGTATCCCTGGTCTCTGGAACATTCCTGTGTCTATCTGCAGGGTGGTCCGGGGGCCACCGAGGTCCCATTTCAGCTCTGGACAAGTCCCTGTGCCTCTCTGGGCCTCAGGCTCCCAAAGTGTCACACAGAGACAGCGACATACACCTCAGATTTACGCACAAGATTAGATGCGATGCCTGCTCCACACCCAGGCCGAATGGGCTCCCCGGTGCCCTGCCCCCACCCAACCACCCCCACCCCCGATGCTTTGAGGACATGTGACAACTCACTCTGGGTCATCCTGGAGAAATTCCTTCCCAGCCTCTTGTCTTACCAGTGACCAAGTCGCCTGGGGCCCGAGTGGACACCGTGCGGCAGGAGCTCAGAGCCCCCAGCAGGAACCCTGATGTTGGCCGAGCCGCAGGGCCCAGAGCCACGGAAGCCCAGACCCCCAGAGGGCTCGGCCTGCCTAGTCCACACGTCTCCTCGGCATTAAACTTGGCCTTTCTCCAAGGTCACGTGTAGGAGAAACATCCTCCCCACAAGAGCCAGTTGCTAATGAATCACGCAGAGCACACCCTCGACTTAGGTGCAGAAGTGGGAAGGAAGGAGGTCTGGCCCTGGGTCCTGTTGGACACCCAAGGCCTCAGAGGGACCCAAGACAGGCCGGGAGGGGTCAGAAGTAGGCCGTGAGCTTGTGGGCAGCCACATCCTGCGGCTTCATTGGGGTCAACACGGCCCCGGCAGGGACGTGGGGCGCCGATGGCCGGCGTGGTAAGGGCACAGGAAGCCCAGATCCCCGAGGACACGGCATCCAGTGGCAGAGCCGCTGGCCCCGGGGAGGAGCCCAGGCTGCGGCTGCCAGACGGCCACGTAGAATCTCCCGGGTTCCGTGGCCTTCAGAAGCCTGGCCTCTCTGGGCCCCAGTTTTGTAGCTTAAAAAGCAGCCATTTACAGCGCCTGACATCAGAAGCCGAACGAACACGAAACTCCCGACGGCAAGTGTCGGGGCCCACGGGGGGTCCTCCCGCAGGTCAGCTGCCGACGCCACGCTAATCCCCAACTCGGTTCCGGAAAAGTGAGCCACTCCCTGGTGCGCCTCTGTTCGCACACCCACCTTGAGCTCTACGGAGTCGGGGTTTGTCGAAAAGGATGTCAAGGCATCTTAAGGGCAAAGTACCGGGCCCAGTGCTAACGTGACCACAGAACTGTGCTCCACAGACGTCCCTTCCAGACATCACGCTCTGAACGCTCCGCACGCGGACGGACGCTTGAGGACGGGCCCCGCCCCGACGCGGCAGCACAGCCACCAGCATCGGCCTTGAGGGGCCCCCACGCACTCCCCAACCTCAGCGGCCCCTTCAGCACCCCCCCCAAGTCACCTCTGCTCATTTTCAATGGCCCCAAACACGCCCCGGCCAGGGCGCCGCCTTGCTGGCCCCCACGACATCAACGTCTCTGGTTTCGGGGCGCAATATGCGGTGATGATGTGAGTCAGTGTCACCCCGGCCAGGCGGTGGGCTTTGTGGCTTAAGTGACGTTTTCTTCATTCAACAAGATCTGCGCAAGCGAGAAAGACGCAGCAGACGCTCGGCCCACCTCTGCTGAGCCCTGGGCGGACCCGCTCCCAGGAGGGGCTCGCTGTGTGTCGAGGCGGGCTGCCTCGGCCTTTCCTCGCAGCGTCTCGACACGGCGTGCCCTCCGGTGGCTCCATCACAGCCGCCTGGCCCAGACGTCAACGCCGGACCCTACCCGGCTGCTCCGCTTCTCGTGTTCCGGAGAGGCGTGAGGACGCACGCCTCTGTCTGCGGGCCTAGATCTTTTCCCCTTCCCCAGGGGAGACCCCCAGAAGTGGGGTCCCAGCCCGAAGACCCAGGGGCACCTACAGACACCCGAGGCAGCCGCTCCAAACCTGGGGCCTCAGAACCTTCCAGAGACTCACCAGATGGCGGCGGTGGAGGTCACAGAGATGGTGGCAAAATGGAGGCTCAGAGCGGGGGAGGGAAGGGCCCGAGCTCACACAGCAAGCCGACAGCAGAGCCGGGGAGGCGTCACCTCCCCGAGGAACGCTTTTTAAAAGGCCTTAATGGTGGGCGCCTGGGTGGCTCAGTCAGTTAAACATCTGACTCTTGGTTTCGGTTCAGGTCACAAGATTGAGCCCCGTGTCAGGCTCTGGGCTGACAGCATGGAGCCCGCTTGAGATTCTCCAAATCTCCCTCCCCTTCCCCTGCTCACACTTGGTCTCTCAAAATAAATAAACATTAAAAAAAAAAAAAAAAAAAAAGCCTTAATGGAAGCTGCCCCAGACCTGTCCTGGCTGGACAAAGACGCCAGGGCCCTCGGAAAGGTCTGGGCACCGATGCCCTCACTCATCACAGACCCGTGAAGACGAACAACGGGGAAGAAGAGGGGTGCGGGAGGTGCGACTGAGGCGCAGGGGGGGAAGAGGCCGGGGGGCTTTGGCATTTTCGAGGACTTCCTGGAGGAGGAGGACCCCCACAGGCCGCAACGCGACAGAGCCGTGCGGGAAAACTCACAAACTGGAAACGTCTGACCTAAACAGAATGTGCCAGTACTTGTTAATGACACGCGGTGGGGAAACGGCCCCAGAGCCTTCTAGGACACCTCTCACAGCCTGGTCTTCCCGCCTGGAACCCCCAGAGAAGCAGCTGTGGTTTTCCCGTGGCCTGGAATCCTCCCTCCGTGGGCCGGAGGTGCTCAGGGTGCCTCCACGTGGTCTGTGGGGAGGTTAGGGTTAGGCTCACAAGCCCCTCAACTTACTCCCAGAAGGGAACATACTGGTGGGGGTGGAAAAGTAGCCTCTGTCCCGTTTCTCCGAGAGCCCGGGTGCCCCGGGGGATGAGGCCAGCCCAGTGGCTCATGCTGCTGCCCTGAGTGCAGGGAGTTGATTCACAGCCTCGGCTTCTTCCGTTTCAGTCTCTGGATCCCGTTTCATTCATTCATGAAATGTTCCCCAAGAGCCTACCCTGTGCCAGGCTGGTGATTTTGGCCTGTTCTTCTGGAGAGGCTCAGTCTTCCAGGGCAGACACATGACATGAGTGGATCACCCAAGCGTGGAGCCATGGGACTACAGGGCAGTGGGCAGGTGAGGAGCAGGGAGGGCTTCCAGGAGGAGGTGACGCTGTGCTGCACCGTAGAGAGTGGACGGATGGCAACGTGGAGGGACAGTCCAGGCTGCTGGACTCTCAAGTCCCCCGAAGGGGGGGAGACTGGACTTTAGCCAGGACCTGGAAGGCAACCCCACAGGGCAGCGGTTGGGGCAGACGCCTGCACGGTGATCCCACGTCCCTGTATGGGTGACACATACAGTCTAAGCTGCAGAACTGGCAGGACTTGGGCACCATCTGGGTGTGGCAGGGAGGGGAAGTCAAGGGCGAGCCTGCAGGTCAGCAGCTGGGGGACAGCCCCCAGGAATTCTAGGAGGCAGGGAGGGGACAGTTTTGGTCCCAGCAGAGGAAACCCCGCAGCGGGGGGGGGGGGGGGAGGGGCTGCCCATAGTTGGGCCCCAAAGGGCGTGCTGTCCAGGCAGCCCCCTTGGGCCAGCACCAGCCTCGCTCGCAGCCTGGCCAACGTGGCGAGCCGTGCCCTCACTTAGTTTTAGGGCGCACCCAGACAGATCCCAAGCCGGACAAACGCACCTCCTGGCCTCTGCCCGAATCCGTGGCCCCGGCTCCACCTCCCCCTGCAGCAAGAATGAGAGGTGACGCCTCCACCCTGGCCATCACTGCTCTATTGGGCCGGCCGGTCTGGCTTCGGCTCCTCCGTTAAGAATCCTTGTGAGGGGCTCAGCCTCTCAGGCCTCGGCTCCCCGGCTGGCAGCTCACCAGTGTCCCGTGAGGTCGCCCCAGATAGCGGACGTCAGGGCTCGCACACAGAGGGGCTCTGTCCCCAGGACACAAAGCAGGGCCTGGGTGCTGGGCGGCGCCCGCTGGCCTCACTGCCTCCCCCACCAGCGGGTCTCCGGGGGCACGAGGGACTGAGAGGGGAGGGGCGGCAGAGACCAGAGGAGCCTGCCTGCTGGCCATAAATCACCACGCCATGCTTTATAATTATCGAGGCACTTAAGCTCCTCTCTCTTCTCTTCCCCTTTCCCTGGGGAAATTTCCTTCATTTCCTACATTATCCCAGTCTCCCCGCATGTCTAAATCAACCTCGGCCACGCCACAGCCTGCTTCTCGCGGCGGCCTACTTCCACGGAGGGAGGGCGGGCTGGGACGCACAAGGGTGGAGGCCACCGGGATGCGGTTGCTCCAACGCAAGTCGCTCCGGCCCGGGAAAGCAAGCTGAAAACGCCACCAGGCCCATCCTCTGAGCTGCGGTGATGACATTCCCGGTGTCGGCTGCTTCTCCCGCCACCAAGATCTGTTGGCAAACCCAGGCGGCCTCGGGCTTCCCCGGGGAGGCAGGCCCAACGCGGAGTGGGGTCCCGGGCGAAGAAGAGGGCCAGCTATACCCGCGACCTTGCGAAACACCTTTCCCTGGGGCCAGGCTGGGCGGGTGTCGGCCTCCCCAGGGCGTGTGGCAATCTGGAAGGTGCAGCCTGCTTCATTCGTAGTGAGGATGCCAGGGTGGGCGGGGTTCTGATGTCGCCATCCACCGTGTGTCCAGCCCGACCCCAAATCTCGCCTAATTCCCATGTGCCTGCAGGTTTGTGTTCCTATCCCCATTTCACAGACGAGAACACTGAGGTCCGGGGAGGAAGGCAATTTGCCCCAATCATTCCTGGCTGCTGCGAAGGTCTGTCGCTCCCGAGGTTCTGCTCCTTGTATGTAAGCTGGAAAGCGTCCCCAGATGACGGTGGCAGGGCCCAGCAGGAGGCAGGTCCGGCCAAAGTCCTCAAGTTGTCCCCCATCATCTTCGGTAAAACTCCCGGCTCCTGAGAGGTGGAGGGGAAGGCAGCACCTTCACCAGGACGTCAGGCTGGGGCTGGGGGGGTGCTGCCGTGGACCAGCCCTGGGCAAGCATTTCAAAGTCAGCAAGCAGCAGTGTTCTCCCAGGCTTCTCTCCCAGGGGGATGAGCCAGCCAGGTTTTTTTTTTTTTTTTTTTTAAATCTGGATCTCATTTTCTGCCCACATTTCTGACCTCCGGAAGCCTCTCGGGTACTTTTCCAGAGCCCTCTGGATTCTGTCACGGGCACGTTTCATGCCTCCGCGTGCCGCATTCACAGCCAGGTCGCTGCCACCCTGCAGATGCCAGGGGGAGCCCACGGGCACAGCTGCCCAGGCCCCCGGCTGTCCGCAGCCACGCCAGGCCTTCCCGAGCCCTGGGTCCATGGGCTCCCGCTGGCTCTCCGACAGCCATCGCCGGTCAAATTCCATGACTCCTCCCCTTAAAAAAAAAATCCCTCTTTGAGAACAAACAAAAATCCCAGAACTGAACCAGGGAGAGCTGGTGATGCCTCGGCTTCATTTTCTCTTTCGTTCTCTCCTCCTGTCTGGCACGGCAGCCAGCTGGAGACACATTTCAACCCTCTCGTTTACAGACGGGTAAACTGATGCCCAGAGAGAGAAAAGGGGCTTGCTGACCGCCCCCCTCCAACACACACACACACACACACACACACACACACACACACACCGCTTCTATGGCCCAGCCAGGATGGAGCGGGGGCTTTCAGCAGCTGTTGGACCTGGGCAAGAACGGACAGGGTCTGAGCCCACAGCCGGTCAAGACAAGAGCAGTCATGGCCCTGGGCGGGACCCTGGGCCCGGGCGGGGGGGGGGGGGGGGGGGGGAAACCCCCCCCCCCCCCCCCCCCCGGCCGGGGCAGCGGCGCGGGCGGGCGGGGGGGGGGGGGGGGGGGGCGGGGCCAGAATCCCCCAGGCCCTCACTCCACCCAGGAGGTCCTAGTCCCGTGGCCCAGAAGGCTGGAGCTCAGTATACGCAGAGAGAAACCCCGTGGGGGGAGGGGGGGGACAAGCCTTGAACTTCAGGGGCAGGGCTCAAGGAAAGCAGGCTGGCTCTAATGGAAACCAGTCAGCGGGCCAAATGCAGCAGGAACACCCCCCTTCTCCGCCCCCCCCCCCCCTGGTTTCCATGGGGACAGAGCCCGGTAGGTGGAGCTCTGGCTCGGTGGCGGCAGCAGATGTGGCCTGTGTAGGGCTGGCGTGGGGTGGCGGGAGGGGCGGCGCTGTGCCTGGCACCAGGGCCCTGGGACGTGGCAGGCCCCGGGCTGGATGCAGTAATGAGCCTGGGGCTGTGGGTCCACCACCTCCGGGAGGCCTCCTGGATTCCTCGGGCCGGCCCTCGGTGCTCCAGGCTGACTTTCTGCTCCCTGCCCAGCTGGGTCCAGTCCCGACCCAGCACTGGGTCCAGGCCTCCTTGAGGTTGCCCACATCTGCTAACTGAGGTCCCTGTGCCTGGGAGTGGGGGACAGACACATCTGCCTGTCACGGCTCTAACCCTCTAGCAGAGGACCCAGTACTCAACAAGGTCTGCTTGGTCCAGTCACTGGATGATGCGGTCTGTCTCCTCCCGGACCCCAAGTCAGGGCCTGGCCACAGCAGGCTCCCTAGCCCCTCCGGGAGGTGCCCAAGACAATCAGGTGTCCTCTGAGCAATGCTGAGACCCACTGGAACTTGTGGGACCAGGGGCACGAGAGCCACAGCAGCGACCACATGAACAGACAGGGCAGTGTTTCTTAAGCACGACAGGGTCCCCATGCACCTGCAGAGAGATCTCTGCAGAGAGCTTTCACGAGAGCTCATCCTGGCCCACATACGGCACCCCAGCACCTCTGTCCTGCCCTGACCTGAGGGATCCCCCCTCCAGCTGAGACCCCTGCCACGGAGCAGACTCAGCAGGTGCCAACGTGCACCCCCCCCCCGCCCCCCGCCCGGCTCCCGTCTGATCCACCTTATCCACATTGGCACAAGGTGCGGGTGTTTCCGTGAGAAAGAGGCCCAGGCCCATCACACGCGGTGCTGTCTGCTACCAGCCCCAACGTGAAGAACCTTTGAAAAACCCCAGTTCGTCATCTACACCGCAGGCTCCCGGCACAATGGAAGGGTATGAATTTGGCACAGAGCGGAAAGGGCCATTTTGAGAACATCAAAGGCTGCAAAATGGTCTTGCCTGTTCCAGATTTCTACAGCCCCCAAAGGTTTTTATTCTCAGTGTCTGAGTGGCGAAGTCTGCAGATCAACTGGGCCTGGTACGTTTCCCTGCTCTAGGCCCTAAGAACACGGACAGCAAGGATGACAACCTGACCTCCCCCTTCCCATCGCCTCTGCCACACTGGGCACTGTCTGGGGCCAGCCAGAGACGGGTCCTTGGGACCTCCACGACCAGCTCGACGGGGTCTGTAGCAGGGAAGGGACAGAGGCAATCCTGGCTCTTACTGGGGGCAAACTCCAGCGCAAAGGACAAGTCCCTCCTAGCACTGCGTGTCTGGGGAGAACCCACCGAGGTCAGCAACCACAAGAAGTAAATAATAAACAGGGATCCGGCACCCAGCTGTTCCCACCCGGCAAGGGGAGAGCGTGGGTCCCGCGGTCAGAGAGCCGAGGCAGGTGCAGGCTGTCCCTCACTAGCTGTGTGACGCCGGGGACGTTCCTTGGCCCCTCTGAGCCTCGGTTTTCTCACACAGAAAATCGCTAACACTGACACCCACCCTCCACACCAGCAGGGCCCTCGGCCACCCTGTCTACACCTATTCCAGCACCAGAACAGCACCGGCACCGGCTGGCTCTGACGGGACGTTAGCATGAAATGGAACGAGGCAGACTATGCATTTTAAAATGGATGCTGAGGGGCGCCTGGGTGGCTCAGGTCGTGATCTCACAGTTCGTGAATTCGAGCCCCGCGCCGGGCTCTGTGCTGACAGCATGGAGCCTGCTTGGGACTCTCTCTCTCTCTCTCTCTCCCTCCCTCACTCGCTTGCTCTCTCTCAAAACAAGTAAGCTTACTAAAACGAAACGAAACGAAATGAAATGAAATAATAAAATAAAATAAAATAAAATAATAAAATTTAAAAAATAAAATAAAATAAAATAAAATAAAAGGATGTTTAAAAAAAGAGGTCAAAACAGCCAGCCCTGGGCCTGGCACTTAGTGGGTCAACAAAAGATACTCCCCCAACCCCCCAGGAACTGAGTCTCGTGCGCAGCATCTGAGGGGAGCCCAGTGTGGTCCCCAACTCTCTCTCCAGTGGACCGAGGCAGGGGTTTCTGCCGCTCTGGGTCCCCCCGCTGGTCCCGCCTGAGCCAGTCTCGCTCTCCCTTCCCCTGGCAGCTGCCATCCCTTTCGGCGCGGCATCCGCCAAGGCGGAGCCCCCACGCTGCCTGGCCCAGGAGCGCCCACCTGGAAGCCGCCTCCCAGAGCCCCCGCCGGCACCGTCCCACAGGCTGGGCAGCCCCGGGGGGACGGCCGTCCAAGCGACACTCCATCTTTGGGAGGGGGCAGAGCTCACCTCTGGTGCTGGAGCCCCCCTGGACTCAGGCCGGAGATCCTTGAGGCCCCCCCAGCAGGCGCCGAGAGCCTCCACAGGTCCTGGCGTCGGGCGACTTACTGTTTGCGTGCCCGCAACCGCGAGGGCTCGAGCCGGAGGGCACCTTCTCCACCCCGCAGAAGCCCCCACGCCCCGCTGCCACCGCCCCGGGCCGCCACCGCCACGTCACACGTGCCTGGGCATGGCCGGCGGGCGGGGGGCCGCCTGCCTGGACCCTCCACGGCGGGCTCAGGTGGGAGCCCTCGTCCTGCTGAGCGGAAAGCAGCTGCCCGACCAGGCGGCTGTGGCGGAGGGAACAGCAGGAACCGCGTCTGCCTCCAGGACCCCTCCGCCCACGCCTGGGCCGGAAGTGCGGGCACACCCACTGCAGGAATCCCGGGGCAGGGCCGGGCTCCCAGGAAACTGGGCCAGAGGCTCCCTCGCACACGCTGGAGCGGCCCAGTCCCCGCGGCCCCCACCGCTGCTCCCTCCTGGGGTCTCCCATCCGGCCCGGGGCTCGGAGCCCCGAGGCCGGGGGCCCTTTCCCCAGGGCCCACCCGCCACCGCTCCCCATCGAGGGGAGAAACGGCAGGCGCCATCATCACACTGGATGCCCCCGGCAACCTGCGGGGAGGGTTCGTCCCCTTGCTTTACAGATGGGGAAACTGAGGCTGGGACGGGCACGCGGCTCACCTGAGAACCCAGGCCTCTGGTCTCCACCTAAGAGGCCCCAAAGAGGGGAAATACAAACCAACTTTTCAGCTCTCACCTGCCACCGCGGACCGTCTCCCGAGTCTGATGCGGTCTCATCCGCTTTAAAGACAACCAAGGCTGCAGTAAGAATCATCCTCCTCGAGGCCTCTTGTGTCCAGAGGTGCGCAGGCCGCGCACGCGGCCTCATCAAACCCCCCCCCCAGTCCCCACCACGGTACCCGTGGGGCAGCTGGGCCCGTAGACCTTCTCGGTGTGGCCCCCGGGCGGCCCGAGCCCACACTCAGGTGCACACACACACACGGACACACGCAGACCCGCCCGGGGAAGACCAGCCCCGCTGGCCATTTCTTTCGGGAGGGCCGCCAGCGCGCCAACAGGCCCACCCCTGGGCCTTCCGGCCGCTCCCCTCCCTCGGCCGCCTTCCCGGATCCTGTGCTGGGCCTGCCCGTGCCGCCATTTCCTCTCGCGGGCCCGGAGGCTCACTTCCACTCCTCGGAGTCTGCAAATGGCCGGTGCCCGGAACAGCCTGTCCCTCGGAAGAGCCCGTGCCCTGCCGGGCCAGGTCCCAGAGTGCAGCCAGCCCGGCCAAAGGGCCTTCCTTCACCTCCCGGGAGCCGGGTGGGCGCCCCGGGCTGGGGACAATGACCCATCACGGTGGGGCAGCGCAGCGCCTGGCGGGTGTCCCCGGGGGTGGCCCACGGGCTCCATGGCTCACTGAGAGGCCACGAAGAGCGCCTGCCTCGAGGAGGCACGGCGCCTCCAAAGGCCAGCCCACCTCCGGAAACCACCAACACACCAAGAGAAGCACAGGACCGTGTATGTGCGCGCGCGCGTTACATGCGTATGACACGCGTGTGCACACACGTGTTACGTGCACCGGACGCCGTGTGCTTGTGCGTTACACACAGGACACTGCAGGCACGTGGGTTGCATGTGTGCGCACGTGTGTCACGTGCACAGGACACGTGTGTGTGTGTTACCTGCACACACCGAGGTGCGCACATGCTGGCAAAGGCTTGCGGTCCCCACCTGACCACTGTGGGGACCTGCAGAACGAACATGGGCTTTGGAGGACGGCAGGCCTGGGTCGAACCCCATCCCAATCCTCACCAGCTAGTCGAACGCGAGGGCTCCGCTTCGGGCCCAGCGCCTCCCCTGGCTGAATGGAGCCGGCGAGAACCCCCGCCCGGCAGGCATTTCTGAGACTCAGAAATAAACCAAGGACTGCCAGCAGGTATGGGGTGCTCTCTGTGAACCGAGCGCCGTGCTAAGCGTGCACTGTGCGTGTTCCTCCGAGGCGGGGACACTTACTGCGCCCATTTTACAGAGGAGGAAACGGGGCCACGGAGAGACGAAATGGCTTGCCTTGGATCAACACAGCCGGGAAACGAAACCGACTGGGTCTGAGCCCCAGCCTCAGGCCCAGAGCTCACGCTCCTCTGTACTCTGCTTTCTCGAACGGGAAAGGTGCCCAGCGTGGTGCGGGCGCCCTGGGCGCGCACTGCTCCCTGTACAACCACCATCACCCTCGCTTCTCTGCCGTTGAATCGCAGGGCAGGGGCTGCTCTGCCTTGCCGACCTTTAAGGGCACCCAGACCGGCGTCAGCCACGTTCTCGGAGCTGCTGGTAAATACGGGTCTGATGCGGGCACAGGGGTGGACAGGCTAAAAGACCAAACGGGAACGCAGCAAGAGGTGGGAGCAGAATCGTTAGAGAAAGCGGCTCCCAAGGAGCTCCGGCAAATTTCATCCGCTTTTCACTCTTCCTGTTATTTCCCAACACCTCCACCAACAGGTACTTTTCCTTGAAATAAACAAGCCACAACAAAGCACTTCTATTAACGAATGGAAGGAGCCTCGGGGAGCCCGCAGAAGACGGCGGAAGGAAGCACCCGTGTCTCTCTCGTTCAGGTTCGGCAGCGAGGGAAGGCGGCCTCAGCGGCTGGGAAGGGCAGAGCCTGAACCCAAAATTCGGAAAAAGCAGAAGCAGTCACTTGAAAATGAGGCGGGGGAGGGGGGCGTGGGGAAGAACCCTCAGAACCGATTACATCATAACGTGAGCAAATTCACAAAATAAACAGTCACCGTTTTCAAATTACAGTGGCCATAAAACTTCTCTGTCCTCACGTGCGCTGATGGCCAATGAATTCTGCACCTCGTTATCTTGGTGAGATTATTATTTTTTTTTTCCAAGTTTACAGCTACTCTTTGCCGTTCACCTGTTGAATGTTTTTTGGGGGGGTGGGGAGGGATTTAAACGTACCTTTAAACCAGGCAAAATATTTATTATGTGATTTTTCATAAACATCCCCAAATAAATTTATGTCAGCCTATACAGAACAGCTAGAGATTTCATGAAGATCTCAAAATCTAAAGTCCCAAACCCCGTAATTTTGAATTTTAATCTGGCGTTAACCCCGTTCACGCTGCCACACAAAATAAAAATTGGTAATTAATTAAAGCACTTAAGGTCCGTTAACGTAGGGCATTTGGAGTCTTAAAAGGCAAAGACAAAGACGAAAATTTAAATTATCATCTAATGACGGTGCGGGTGTTTCCTCTACCGAATTGCTCAGGGCACCGTTTCACCACACAAGCGCAACTTGTTTATTTTGACCTCAGTTCTTTGAAATTGTCGACTCCACAATTGAAATATGCTGTGTGTTCCAACAAGGACCCAGCAGTCGTAATGACAGACCAGCCCATCTGTGTTGTGAGAATGTATAATTTCAGCCTATAGTGGAATTTATATAGAAGCGATGATAGGAACACTGACTGCTCTGTGTGGTACTTTCCCAAAGGAAAAACACACACACACACACACACACACACACACACACACACACACACACAAAACAAAACAAAAAAAAAACAGCCAAGAAGAAATGGGTGCCGTGAAGAGGGCTGATATTTTGCCTGATTCAGGACACAAAAGATTCCATGGCATTTTCCTGACTCGGGGACGGGGGGAGGAGGCAGAATGTTATTACCCAAGTTGAAAAAACAAAGATGGTCACCGATTACGCATAACCACCCCACTCTGCTGGAAAACGTGCTATGCGTATACGTTACAACCTTTAGGTGAACAGAATCTCGGTGGAAAATACTAACTCAGGATGAAAATGCTCATCTGCGGAAATTAATTGATTTTATGCTACTTGCCCTTACTTCCAAAAAGGAGATGAAGTCATGTTCAAGGAAAGCAGACTGTCATTCCAGGACTTGGGATTCCAGGCCTATTTACCTACACTGATTACACCAAAAAATAAAATTTTGGGAGATGAGGCGTGGGCAACTATCAAAAGCATAAATTCTTTAAAAACGACGGCCCCTCCTTCCCCCCGACCCACCTCTCTCCACTCTCGACTCTTTCGCGTCAGAATTTATGACACTCTGGTTTTTTCCTATGACTCGTATTTTGTCGCCGGTGTCTAATTTGGTGCTTGCTAAATATTCGTGTGGAATGACCCTCCGGCTTGTAGCAGCAGAATGTGGCGTTCTACGCTCACAATCGTGGAAATGTTTTAATGATCTCTGCTATATACGCCTGTCTCTACAGCCCCAAACCTCCCGTATCGACTGCTGTCTACTCTAAGAACAAAAGCAGCCGTAATAGTCCTTGTGTGAGCTCAGCTCACTTTTATACGTGGTCGTGTCTGCCCCGGCCGGCTGCTCAGACCCACACAAACAGGGCCCAACGCCTCCGAATTAGGAAAACAAAGATGTATTTACGTGGGAAGTTTCTTCTCAGTTGCAATTCAGAACTTTCTGGGCCTGATTTTCCATCTTCCATAAATCAAGACCCCAGCTACCCCCAAACGTTGGGGGGGGGGGAACCCAGGCTGCATCTGTGGGCACTTCTGTCAGCCTGCCGGGGGATGGAGGTGATTCGCAGCTGAACTCTGCAAAGCCCACCTTTTAAATGAAAAGGTTCAGCAGTTCTGAAGGGTCGGGGACCATCACAGGAACTCGGGCAAGCACAGAGTTCAGCTCTGGGACCGTGGCGGCAGCGTGGCCTGGGGACGCAAAGGTCTTCCAGGGACTCCCACCCCCGCTGGCCACGGTTCAGGCCCCGGACAGTCGAGTGGCTCGGCCTACAGCTCTGCAGATGGGAAACCAGGATGGGATCCGGCACAGGCCGGCCCCGGACAACTCAGGCCCCCCGAGGGTCCGTCTGGTGGACGTGCCCACGTGCACCCCACGCACCGTCTGTGGGCAGGGCGGTCATGAGCTGGGCGCAGCGCCGTGAGGCGGAATCCCCGGGCTTAAATAAGTGTTTAAAAAACAAAGCACCAAACAGCCTAAAAGATTTTCCCCGTGCTGAGCTGAGGGCCGAAAAGGGCCTTCTTTTTCTTCCCCTCCTCACCCGAAATAAAACGAAACGAAAAGGAGAAAAGAACAGGATCCCTAAACTGTGGACACGGCAGCATTAAAGATGCTGGATAAAATAAAAGGGCCTCTGTTTCTCAATGCAGAACCCACCCTCCCGTATGCCAGCCCAGCCCTGCCTGCCGAGGAGTTTGCAGGGAGGAGCGAGGGCGCTTCGGTGTTTTTTCTCTCGGCCACTCCTGGCACCACCAAAAACTGAGACAATCGTAATAACAGTAATAGTAAGGAGACCCCCACGACGAACCGACCCCACTGAGCACGAACGAGTAGGCCGTGCCTATTAATGCCTCCTGAAACATTCGTTCCAATTACAATCGAGCACGCGGCTACTGTAAAATAACAAACATTCATTTTTATTGTGATTCCCAAAGCCTATAGCTTCGGATCTTAAAAACAAATGGGCCCGGCTTCTGCATTTTCCCTGCAGGTTTCGGAAAGGCTTACTTCACCGAAGACCGGTTGGGTGGGGGGGGGGGGGGGTCGGAAATAGAATTTTGAATTTCGGAGAACCAATTAGAGGGAAGGAAACGTAACAGGCACCGAGCACAAGATGGCAGAGCCCTCGGCTCGTCTCCAGCAAAAGAGAAGGGAAGAAGGTGACTTACCCAAGGTGCAGGAGGACGGGGAGCTTGCTCAAAAGCAAGGGAGTGGAACTGGTGCCCCCTGGGCCGGCCGGGCACGGTGGCAGGAGGGGGAGGGTGGTGCCAGCCCCGGGTCCGACGGGCCCCCACGCATCCTGCTCTCTGGCCACCCTCGTCCGTCGGTCCCTCGGTCCCGGCCGGCGCGGCCTGGGCCTCGGCCACCCCGGCACCCGGAGGCAGGGCCGCCAGGAGCCAAGTGGTGCTGGGGGAGGCTCTGCCGCCAGCCCAGGAGGACGAGGAAAATGCTACTTTTGTCTCCTGCTCTCATCTGGCACCGGCTGCCCGGGGAGGGGGGGCCAGAGGCGGCCGCTGCGGCTCGGCCCCGCCCACCGGGAATTTTTGAAAGATGCTCCTGGGTGCCGGGAGGATGGCAGACGTGGCAGAGGCGGGTGGGCCGGACCCCCGAACCCACCACCAGGCGGGCGGGGGTGGGGGGGGGCGGCCGAGCGGGAGAGGGAGGAGGCGGCAGGCGCGGCTGGCCACTCAGCGGCCGGCCGAGGAGGACGGGGGAGCCAGCCCGGCCCGGGCC